CTGAGGACTGTAGCTTTTGTTTCATTTTCACTGCAAATGAAATCTTATGGTAGTTTGGTCTTTATCCACTTTTGCTTCTGAAACCGTATCTGGCAGTTGACTCTGTATCTTTGCTGCACAGACATTGCCTATTCATTACTGACGTTCTGTGGAGACATACGCATACTCCGACAACAGAAATGCAGGGCTGATATCAAGCCGCACAGCATCTGATAAATTCACATGGGAAAGGGAATATGAAAACAAATACACAAAGGGCACAGCTACTGAGAAGGTAAATATTGTTTTTTCCATGCCACACCCAAACCAAAAATAGAGGCAGAGGGGCCCTTAACAAAGCTTTGTTCAGGTTCCTGACAGCTGACAATAACTGCTTGTTTTCCACTGGGCTGTAAGTGAACAAGACTGCCAGTTTACTTCAAAAGCCTGGATTTGCCTGAGACTTGTGCTTCTTTTACTATGAGTAGATCAGAAGTAGATGAGAACAATAGCTCTGTGGAAATTTGTAGTGTTAAAAAATCATGCAAATGTGATCGCTATCACACTTGCACTCCATAAGAGGAGTAAACTGATAACACTTTTCTTTTTGGAGGGAAAGGAAGTGCCTGTAACATGCAGCAGTGTGGATTAGCTAGCTGGGGAAGAGGAGCAGCAGGTGAGGGAGCCTGGGGGCTGGGTCCCTGGGAGAGCCGCTGCTCTACCTCCCCACAAGGAGGGAGCGCAGCCCAGAAGGGAGAGGAGGAGGAAGCCGTTGGGCGGCTGTGTCAGGGCACAGGTGGTGCTTTCTGCATCCTAGGCTGTTGCACAAAGAGCTCAGGTGCTTAATGAGGTAGATAAAGCTGGGCACTCCCAAATCTACTGCTGATAAAACAGTGTTGCAAGGTGGCTGTGAGATGAAGAGGGAAGGGAGTGTAATAAATACAGCCCAGTCAATAAATACAGTCATTGCAATAAATCCAGTGGGGAGGATGGGCAGTCAGAGGAGGAACAGACCCAGAGCTTGACAGATCCTCATGACTGTGGGAATGTGGCTCCATATGGCTCATGTGGGGCACTTGCTGCCTCTCCTGCCTGAAAGCTGCCTTCAGAGACTCTGCATTGCAGTGTATTGTGAGAGGACATTAATGCCAACCTGAGGAGACTGGGCAGAAGTGAAATAATCTGTTTTGATACAGTCTGGAGAGCTTCTGTCCAACACAGGCAAACCTGTACTGCTGCCATGTTGTCTTTTTTGCTGGCAGCTACATGCTGGGTAGTACTGGCACAGCTGGCATCAGGCTATTTCTTGTTCTCTTGGCCTCTGTTGAGCACACGAGGATTTGATACTATTCCCACTGGAGCCAGTATGAAAAGTTCCCAGGGTGCACCTTAAGGTTGAGAGGGTTTTCAGTCATTGGGTGTGTGTTGTTCTTGACATGAGATCCTCTTGTCCTTGTTACTCTATTCTTTCAAAAAGCAGATTGCCTGCTGTAGCAAGGCATTGGACCTTGTTCATGTGAAATCAACTGCTCTTTTAACAGAAATACACAACTACATTAAATAGTTGGGAAATGATGCAAAGTTGAGCCAGGCGCATTTGGTGACACCAAAACAAGTAAGCCCCAAGGAGATGGCTTAATCCTCACTGTCCCAAATGGAAAAGTAACTTGTGTGAATTAATAATAGAGTATTCAACCAGAAATATTTTTCTAACTAGAAAGCATCTGTGGCTTTGCATCTGTGGTTAAAGTGAAAAAATTGAAGTTAAATAAACTTGTATAAAATCTGCAGACAGAAAAACGTCACACAAAAAAGAAAACTTGAGCCTTTTATTTCCCTGCTTCCTGCTGTGATTAAATGTTTAGTTTCCAAACAATGTACTCGGCTCTTAATGAAATTTTGAAGTTCTTCCATATGCCTAAGTGAAAGTGACTCAGAGGAGAGCTCACAGGAAAATTGCTGCTTTTTTTCCCCCTTTCTAATAATCCTTTCTGACCTTTCTACCAAAACTCATTTATTTTGTCCATTTTGATATCAAACTTCCCATAAGTAAAACTACATCAAGTTTTATACCTATTCTCCTTAGCAATACATCTTGTTTGCAACAACTGTTTTGTAGCTCAGCAAAAATCAAAGATTACCATGCATCATTGCTTAGGTGTGATATTTTGATGTTACTTCGCTAATATGATCAGGTGCTAAATGAGGTGCTTTGGCTTCTTGCTCTGCATTAGCAGTGCCCTCCTCATGATAACTCCGTTGTGTGGAAATCATGGATGTACTCTGTTGACAGGTGACCATATACCATCCCCAGATAAACAGGGTCTTGAAGGAGGGATTAAAAATTCCAGACAAATATTTATTACCTGACTACATTTCATTGTGTTTCAGTGAGTGGTGTGTGTTGAGGCCCCCCCCCCCGGGCCCAAGTCTTTGTGAAACTGTATCCGCGGAAGATGTAGACAATGCTGAGGCTGTGTTTAACTAGATACTGTGCAAACATAGCAAAAGACCATCCCTTCCCGAAAGACGTGAAGAAAGGCTGGCCTTGGCTTTCATTCAGTAAAGCCTGAGAGCAAATACTTCCTTTAAGTAAGTTTGTTTCTTTGAGATCAAACAACTCTGTGGCTAGAGAAGGGCCTCAGCACTCACAAATGTTTACCTTGCACAGTGACTGCTTTCAGTGGGGCTTTCCAAGGAAGCCACAGTTCCCTTCACTTTGCTCTGTCTTCCCACATATCTAGAGCTGCACAAAAATCATCAGGTGGATGATTTTTAGTATTAGCCTTAGATGAGGTACAAATTTCGTGATAGTTACAAGCCTTTTGGAAGATCTGGATTGGCTTTTGACCAATGCTTTTCTTAGCTCTGGTTTTGGGGTAAAGAGAAATCTGTTCCAAACTTCTGGTATTGTTTTGATTTTTATGTTTGCCTGACTTTCATCAAAATCCAAGTGAGAAAAAATCTTTCTTGGATTTCCAATAATCTGTTTCTAAGAACCTCTCTCTTGTTTATGAGCAGGAATTATTTGATTTGTGTGTCCATCCCATAAAACAACAGTACGTTTGACTCTATATTGATATGACAAAGCAAGAGAATAGGTTGCATTATTTAATTAGGAAAAAAAAAAAAAAGCAGTGCAGATACCTGTAATGAGTGTACAGTTGTGGATATAAAGAACATCTGAACTGCTAGAGAGTAAATGCCTCATTTTTATTCTTTTCTTTACGAAAGGAGTTACTGCTCCCTCTAATTCAGTGACCAGTCTGTCTTTCTGGTCACAGAGTAACTTTAGTGTTTGTCCTACCTTCCACCCTACAAAGATACTTTGCATAAATTAACATTCAACAAATTTAACTACTAAGTGCTGGTTTACCATGACACACCCAATTTGTACAAACACTTCTTAAAAGAGACTGGCCATGGCATGCTGTGCCTAGCATGCCAGGTATAATGTTCCTCCTCAGTGAAAGCCCGTGTAATAGGATGGCTGTTTATCTGGGAGCTTGTGCGTTCCCCTCACCCTTCAAGATTTAAATTTAACTTAGCAAACAAGCCCCTTATCTAGTTTCTAAATAGATTTTTGTAAATAATTGAAATTCAGAGGTCAGTTATAGTAAATTTGGAACAGTTCTTTTAGAGTAGAGTGGCTTCTTGCTATATTTCCACCAGCACAGTTGTGAGCTCTTCTGCTGGGAGGTTAGGAGTACAATTACTTTGATAAAAAATGTTTTGATGTCTCAGACTGAATATACTAGTAGGCCATACCCTTTTCTCAACTCTTTTCAACATTAGACCTGCACTCTGAAAGTGAATGACAGTATTAATTTTTCTTAAGCATTACTGGTAAACTTATTGGGTCTCAAATTTATTTTAAGTACTGGTAATAAGAAAACACTTTCTTTTTTTCAAAACTGAAGCAAGGTTCTGTAGGTATAATTATATCCTGTTTTTTTTTGGTATCCCCTAGCTTTATGTGGGAAGAAGAAAAAGAGATGGGTTTTATAGAATAAACTGAGGGAAAAAAATACATCGCTTGCAATATCACCACCCAACCATTGTAGGAGTAAAACAATAAACACTGCTTGCTGTTTTTGTGCAGTGGGAATCCTCAAGGGATGGAAATCTTATGATGCACTAGAGATCTTTTAGTAAATATAGATTCTGTAGCTCTGTAAAATGTAGTCTCTGACTAAATTCCTATAAAGAGATTTAAATGCTGAGTATTTAGAACACTAATAATAATTACAGTTTAAAGAAAAATTTTTATGAGAAAACTATCTTTGTGATAAAAATGCTAATGATGTACCCTGGAAAAATTCTTCAGCACAAGTGGAAAAAAACCCCCTAACTCCTGCAGTATTGCCAGCAATTGTCAGTGAAATTTTATCACTCCATGTGAAAATGGATATGCTTTAATGTAATCCAAATTCTTGATTAACTGGGTTTTAATTGACTTTCCTCTTACTCCCTAATTTGTAATTTTTTCTCCTTTTATGGAGCACTGTAATAGTCTCCATCTGCCATTCATTTTCTTTTCTAAGATTTTTTTTTTTTTAAATGCACCAAATTCTAGGAAGGGAAATTAGAAATCGTCTAAGTTCAGTGAGGAAGCCACATCCATTAAAATACACTTTGATCGAAGTGACTGAAACAATGTGCAATTCATGGTATAAGTCAAGTCAGAAGCGTTCTAAATCCCTTCATTTCAGACATCAAAGACATATTAACTCCCCCTTCACCCCACATACTCTAACACAATCATTTACATAACTAAGAAATCTTTAAAAATATTACTTTTAAAATAGATTTGGCTTTAAAAATTGCTTTGTTTGGATTTCTGCTGAGCCAACTGTGTTTCTAAGTATAAAACCAATACTTTACAGCAGGTGAGATCAGATTATTTTCAGGATAAAACTATTAGACTATTCTGAAAGCTAAAAAAGAGAGTGCAAAAAATGCCCTGTAAACAGTTTCTTTTGAAAGCACAGTTGCAAGGTTAAAGGAAGAAGTTTTCCTACCTGTAGCTTTTGTGTGGATCAGGAAGTGTAGCTTTTTTCGGATTACAATCTTCCATGGTTTAGCTTGGCTTCTGCATTTGAATGTTAAATATGTAAGAATGCCTTGTTTAGCTTGGGAGTTTGCATGACCTCTTAATGAGACACTGTAGTTAGTGTCATTGGGTATTAAGGCATCATGTGACTGTAGATGAAAATAAAATCCTTTAAAGTTTGCATTTAATACTTCCTAGAATCTGTAACCCTTTACCTGCAAGCTGGATAAAAGCCTGATACAGCTCACTATTTTCTGCTCAGGGTTAGTAAAAGGAGAAGAGGAAGAACATGTGCCAAATAATTCCTTTTCCTCTGGGACAGTCATAATGACAACAACAAAGTCCAATCCTGTCAGTGTATGATTGATATAATTTTCATATTCTTAAAATTAAATCTCCTCATGTCACAAACAGTGCTGGAGGGATTTGACAGAAAGTTCCTCCGTTACATCAGCTAGTTTTGCCTAGCAATGACATTTAATCCCCAGTGTTTTCAGTGATGACCAACGGAGGAGCTTTGCTCTAAGGTATATTTGCAGGCATCGCATCAGGTTTATCTGTGAAAGTTGCTGACTTTCCCAGAATCGTTTTGGTTTCGGTGTGGTGTTTCAAAGAGTGATATGAAAGATGTGCTGCTGCCACAATCCAGTTAGGAGAGCATTCCCTGTGCAGGAGGAGAGATTTAACATGTAGGCAATACCTGCAAGCCGCTGGGTCAGGTGTTTCCTAGCTGTAATTTGTAATGTGGTATTGGTGTCCTGTAAACTAAAAAAAAAAAAACAAACAAAAAAACCCCACCCTCCAGGAAAGACCTGGCACTAACGTTGCCTCATCTAACTGCATGTGTCACAGCCGGGGGTAGGGGGGAGTCCAAAGCAGGGCAAACAGAGCCTACTCAACAGTCCTTTGGAAATGCTCTACTGAATCCTTTCTTTGTGGTGTTAAGGCTCATGGAAGCCGTTACATGAGGTTCAGCTGCTGTACAAATAGGTGTGCTGTTCTCACCCTAAATAATGCTGGATTTAGGGTCCTCCCTGCCTGGCAGGGGTTGCATCCTTGCCTTCCCTGTGTAAGGGGCATGCTGGAGTCCTGCTTACTTTTCGCATGCAAAGTATCCTCCTGAAATCCCACTTCAGCAGCGGGCAGGGTTTGCCCTGTTGTGTTTCCCCTCGTATGCACTGCAGTGAGGTTAAGATGAGATCATCAAATTCATTTCAGCAGTGGGCTGAGGAGAGCAGAGGTCTAGGTGCCGGGGAGTGGAGACTTAACTGCAATGTCTAGCCCCAGCCTCTCTCTGCGGAGCCACAAGCCCAAGGCTGAAACAGCGGATGCCAGCAAAGAAATTAATAAAAGCTGCTTTGGATATGCTTAATTTAAGCAGAGAGCTATGTCATAATGTGAAGGCCAAATATAATTTACAGTCTGTGAGCTAGCTAACTGCAAAGCTCTGCAACAGCTCTTTGGCAGATCTTTTGTTTTATCCTGCAAGCTTTTAGCGGTAGTTGAAAATGGACTTTGAAAGCCAGGAAATATCTTACTACAAAACCTGCACTAAACTCTCCCAAAGGCTCTCTGGTCAGTAAGTAAAGATTTTTCAGGATGACATATCCCTAAGTTGTTAGAGGAGGTGGGGAAGGTGGGAGTTGCAAACAATTCCAGGACTACCTCTGCAGCACCAAGCGTGATGCTGTGCTGCTGCACGCCCAGTTTACAGCCCTGCCAAGCTGGAGCCAATCCCCATTCTGCCATTTCTTTCATGGTGGTTGGGCTAATGAGCTGGCTAATAGGCTGGGAAATCTACCAGTTGAAAAGCTGTGCTGTAGGCCAGGTGGCTACTGATAGCAACCTCGGAAAGGCTGCCTCCCCGTCTCTCCTGATACACAGCCTTCTCATCAGACCTTTTTCAGGACTACTGTATGTTTGGCATCCAACAGACTATTCATTCTTGTGATTTCTCAAACCTATGACCAGTATTTTTACAGTAGTAAAGAAGTCCTGCCCCAGCCCCTGCAGTCCCAACCAAGCATGCTGTGGTCCTACAGTACTGTTCCTGAAACCTCTGGGATCCTTTCAAGCTGATCGTTCAGTCAGGTTTTCACAGATGTGTCCTGCAGGAAATGATCACTTGTCTCACCAATTCATAGTTCTTGTTCAATAACGTGGGTGTGACAACATTTTTTCAAAGGAAAAGTAGTTGAGACATAGAGCCTGCAGAAATCCTCTGTTTCTTCTAACCTCGTTGTTGAACATAGTCTTAGTTTTGGCTGAGGTTTTCTGGAGAACATTCCTGCTGAGATAGAAGTGTGCCTTGTAAAATAGCCCAAAGGGTTAGCTTTGTAACTTCAGATACTATTGTTACCATGCTATTACAGTGGGAAGTGCCAGGCAATTTATTAACAGGCAATGGAATAATGGAGACAAATGGCAGCAAACTATCCTACTGGTTTTGGGATGTTCTGTTTTCATCTGTGCTAGAGCATGTCTGGATTTTTGCTTCATCTCTCATCTTGCAAGTGGGTATTTCACTTTAAATGTGCTGCATAGATCTATTTTAGTCTAGAATTGTCTACCACTGAAATGCATGTGGAATCAGAGCCATGGCATGAAAGTGGAAAGATGATTTTATTTCTCTCTGGTATATGCTACGTAAAAGTAAGATCTGTGCTGGTGTGGCAGTATTGTGTGATGAAAGCTGTGACAGTGGGAACATGTGAATGTACCTTACATCTGCTTTTGTATATTCCTTGCTGAGTCTGGAGAGGGGACCAGTGTGCTGCCAAAAGTGCAGGCACTGCAGGTGAAGAGCGTACCATGGCTGGGAACAAGTTTTGCAATTGGGATGGGAGCATCACCCACCCTGGTAAGCAGGAGCAGTATGGCCCTGGGATGATAGGGCAGTGGAAGCAAGGAGAAGAGCTTGCTGGGGCCAGATTTTAACAGTCACTTTGGGAACCATTTGTGATTTTAAGAGCACATTCTGTTGGACTGGATATCTTGCGAGAATGTTTCCTCACACTCTTCCGGTTATTGGCCTGTATTTTCAAGTTAATTTAGCACTGCTAGCTGGTCATTGACAGAGAAAGTCCCTTTTTCAGAAAAGGATGGTAGTGCAAACTGCTCCTTTTGGAAAAGCACATGATAAAATGCCTCATCCTGCCATGGGAAGGATTGTGATGACTATTCCTTCAGCCTTTGACCTCCCTGTTGAAATTGAGAACCAAGACTATGATTTAGACCCACACTGAGAACATTCTTTCATGTCATGTAAGTCAGGAGGCTACCTTCAGAATTCAAGGAAAGGTATTCAGTGACCAGGATGAAAATGTGAACCATGGAAAAAAATGTAGCTTGTTACTCTCCCTGCAGTGACGTGGTGTTCCAGGAAGAGATATCGAGTAATGTCCATAACAGGGTAGAAGAACTTTGAAGTAGGTCATATGTATGGCATAAATGTTGATAATGATTGTTAATAACAAATCCTTGATAACCAAAACTATTCAAATGCCCTAGTCCACATTTGGATGATTACATAATCAATTTTATGGTTGCATTAAAAATAATGTGTGAAGAAGTAAGGTGTCTTTGGTTTCATAATTAGAATAAATATAGACTTCAGAATTCTGTCCTTTTGCAGTCTTAATATTTATGTTAGAACAGGTATTTTAAAATCCTTTTTTAAATTTTTAAATTAACAAAAGAAACCAATGCAGATTGTTGCTAATAGCCTAATGATAATGACCCAAAGGACCCATTTTATGATGTATTGTACAGACACATGTTAAGATTTTGATCAAGGGCAAAATTATGGGATTTTAAACTGATCTGGGGCTGAAATAGCTCCCCCTGCATATGAATGCCATTTTAGTGATAGATTTTTGCTTTTATTCCCTTTCCAAGATGGCTAAAAGTTCTGTTTCCACAGGTTTCTGCACAGGGCTTGAGTATGTAGCATGGAGAAATCAGCGTGGGGGAACCACTGAAACCTTAATGCCTTTTCCAGGCTACTTGTTAACTCACATTTTGATGTTATCTGATAATAATGTGAAAAAAGTCAAATGGCCACAGGCCATGTGAAATGAAGTCACAGGCCGTGCATTCCCCAGCTGTGGTGCAAAGGAAATGACTGATAAAAATATTTTTTCTAGCTGACCTCCGGCTTACCTTTGTCTGCCAAAGAATTTCCGGCTAATTCCCTTCTAAAACTTTCTCGCAGCTACAGCCTATTCCTAGAATCTTCTGTGTCAGAAAATATGGACCCCACTTGAACCTGTTTATTGATGCACTTTAGATAAAGAATAAATGAAAGCTTTATTCTAGGTATGCAAATAGTGCTTCTTAAAAGAAGGTAAATCGCTCTATTCCCATGTAGGGATAGAACAGTACTTGGCATTTGGATGGCTCATTATTAGAGAATCTACTTTGTCCCTGTACCACTGCATAGACATACTTGTGGACATGTGTGTGAGGGGCTCTGGAGTGCCCCCTCTTGCAGTAGCAAGTATTTGGACACTGAGCAGCCTACTCAGTGTGTGAGGAGTCTGACCCCTGAGAAATAGATTCAGAAAGATGGAAAGCTCAATGAGTTTATTAAGACATAGATATTATCTATTATCTTACACATTCTATCTATTAAGACGTAGATAAACTGTGAGGAGGGACAGGATTTAAACAGCATCATTCAATGAGATTAGGAACCTAATACTTGTCTGAAGGGTTTAAGTGGATTAGGAGTCATGTTCATGTTGGTCTTTCTCATTGTTTTACAACTCAGAAAAATAGTAGCGTTATCCTTGGTTAGAACTTAAAGGACTAAAGTTCAAAGCAGGATAAGAACACCCCTGCTTTTTTACATACCGTATCATTGCTTTCATGTGTCAGCATGTTGCTTTGACCACAGAATCGTCAGGGTTGGAAAAGATCTTGAAGATAACCTAGTCCAACCATTAACCGAACACTGACTGTTCCCAACTACACCATATCCCTCAGCGCTATGTCGACCTGACTCTTAAACACCTCCAGGGATGGGGACTCCACCAC